TTTCCTAGTGAAACTTTATTCAAAGTGTTTTACAACATATCTAAAAATAAGTGAGAACAGTATAATTCTCTCATGTTTTCATCACTCGGCTTTAGCAACTATCAACTTGTGGCCAACCGTGTTCGTTTGCATCCTACAGACTTTCCCACAACCTTCCATATTTTATTTTCAAGCCAATCACAGACATCATGAAATTCCATCTGTAACTATTTCAATACTTATAGTAGCAGTGGCTTTTGGTCATACAGACCTGCAGTCAAAGCCAGGCTCCATCAGCTACTGGCTGTCTGACCTTGGGCAAGTGAATTAACTTCTATGTTAATTCTCTCTGTAAGAGATCTCTCTGTAAGATGGAGTACTAACACTGACTGCTCAGGATGGCAAAGTACATGAAAAGAGAACATGCCTCTAAAGAACCAAGCCTACTGCTGGCACACAGGTAGTGGTCAGTCCAGAGCAGCTGGGGTTGGTAAGACTGGACAGTCGATTGAAATAGGATTCTTTGGATTTGGGGCTTGAACTTAATTCTAGCACCAAGCTAAGAACAGTTATGACAGAGCTCTGCTTAATGCTCCCTCCCTGCCCCTCCTCCCCCACACACACACCACCACCACCACCACCACCACCATCACTGAAGACATGGGTGCTACAGTAAAGTATGGTGAAGAAAATACATGGTGCATCGCTATCAAAAGGAATAGCATCTGAGGTCTTAATGACTTGTCTTCAAACAAGCAGCCATCGAAGTGGAGCAATAACTAAGTATACATGGAAGAAGCACATCAGCTTATGTGACCCAAGGATTATAAATAATAAAATCCAAATCCAATGGAGGGAATGCTTTCAGAGCTTAAATTGTAAACATCTAGTTTGCAGAGGGCTATGGATGACAGTGGAAGCCCAAAATCCATCATAGTTCAGGGATGGGAATAGCCCTGTTATCAGACAGACAGCATTATAAAGTCAATTATGGTAGACATAGCTAGGTTAAAATGCAGTATCATTTGATCTCCCTTTTGACCTATATAAAAGTTCTATCAATTTGAAAAATAAATACAGGGAAGTTGGCAAGTTGGCGCCGGCCGTGGTCCTGCGCCCTTTCTCCCAGCTGCTGACCCCGGCCCGGCTCCGAGCAGTCTTTCAGCAAAGTCGAAGTTCTACATTCAGGAGTCAATAAATAGCAAACCTGGTTGGCAGAAAGTTGGGTTGACCTTGGGCACCACAGTCTTCCTGTGAGCCTATCTCATCAAGCAACATAATGAAGATGTTTTAGAGTATAAAAGAAGAAATGGGTTGGAATAAATTATTGAAATACTGATACAGTCTGCTCCATGTAGTGATTGCAGGAATTCTTCGGGATTTACTAATCTTTTGGATGTAAATGAGAAAGAAAAGTTATTTGGGAATGTACATCTCAGCCGTTGTGGGTTACTTCAATATGTGAAACAAATTAAAAGACTTCCTTATTCTTCAAAAAAAATAAAATATAATAATAAACAAATAAATCAGGGGCTATCACATGGAGTAAGCCTCTGGTGAATCCCCTCTGACCAAGGACCAGCAATGTGAATAGCCTTGCACTCATGCACAATGCACTGAAAAGAGGATCATTGCAGATGCAGTGTAATATGCAGTACTTAGATGATTTCATATCAACTAGACACTTCTGGCTAGGGAAGGGGTCAGGCCAGTCAATCAGGTCACAGCCTGATGCTGTGTCCTTACAGGTGTGGTCCTCTCATAAGGAGTACCCTGGTTACCTTCTCCTTATCTGCCACTCCTTCTTCCTGCTTGCTAGGGGTCTGGTGGCCACCCTGAGAGTTGCAAGTGCCCTGCCATGTTTTCAATGATCCTGCACCCACTGGCTTGTGATCTTCCTGCATTTAGGATCATTGCATGTGGCTGCATGAATCTGAAGAGGGACTTACGGATTAGTACTGGACTTGTGGACTTGAGTTGGACTGGGCTGGGACGCTTTCTGGGTATGTAATTACTTCACGAAATAAAACTCTCTTTTAAACATATGAGTATCACTGGATTTGTTTCTCCAGTCAACCACACTGAACACATGCAGTTAGGTTAGTTTAACACTGTATCATTTGATGTCCCTTATGATCTATTTTAAATTTGTTCTAGTTTTTAATATTTTATTCTTTTTGATTGAGGTTTTTATGTGCTTTACTTTGTATTGTTGCTAGTTTTTAGGGTTTTTTGTTTGTTGCTTTTTCGTTTTTAAGGTTTTTCTGTATATAAAATCCAGGATAGGTAAATCTACAGAGACAGTAACTGGATTAATGGTTCCTTGGTATGGCATGGGTGTTTGGGGGAAATGGGGAGCTAATAATGAGTACAAGATGAGTACAAGAATAAAGAAAATGTTCTAAAACTGATTGTGGTGATGACTGCATACCTCTTCTTTATGTGATTGTACTACTAAATTGTATGATATGTGGATTATATTCCAGTAGAACTGTTTAAAAAAAAGATTATTTCTCACCCATTTCCAATGAAGATCTCAAAGGACAAAATATGTATCATGTATCCCGTCTTATAAGAAACAAAGTTAGGGAGGGAGGGGAAAAATGAGGACCTAATGTCGGGGGTTTAAGTGGAGAGAAAATGTTTTGAGAATGATGTACAAATGCGCTTTACACAATTGATGTATGTATGGATTGCGATAACAGTTTGTATGAGCCCCTAATAAAATGTTATAAAAAAAAAAAAGAAACAAAGTTAAACAAGAATATAGAAACTGTGTGAGGGATGCCTTTATAAAAATCAATGAAATGTGGCTATTAGTATAAAAACAAACTTGGTGCATAGTATAAAAAATGTAAAACTAGGTATTAAACTATGTCATTTCTAAATAGAAGAAAACTTCTGAAGCTATTTTAGGAAAAGTTGCTCTCTCTACCCCTTTCTTGTTCATTTTCAATGGTAAGTGACCCTTCCACAAGGGCGTCTACCCGGTCTTCTCCAAAGACTGGAACAAGCAGAGGGTGTGAAAGTTGCTTACAAGACAAACTATAGGGAAAAAAAAAGGGGGGGGGGGGTTGTTACATTCATATGCCCCAGGAGACTTGCTCCAGGGACAGCAATTCCATGTGCAAGGTCTTGGCTAAGCACTAGAATAGAAATAGGGACACGCAGGGCTTCCTAACCTTGAAGGAGTTTGAATACAGCAACAGTGAGAGATAATTGTGCAGCCTCTTCTGACGGAGGGAGGTGGGTAGAAAAGGAAGACAAAATGAAAAATAGCCCAAGGGCTACGAAATAAATTCTTGTACAAGCTAGTGTGAAGCAAACTCACGGCTTGTTGAAAATGCAGATCTTAGTCAAGCAGCTCTGATAAAATATCTTACAGATCCAGAAGCATTTTTACTTTGGTTTTGGAAACTTGTTGAATTTAAGACCAATTATTTCTTTGGGAGAGAGTGATTCATTACTTTCAACTAGGAAAGCGCTATACTGACCTTTAAAATAAAAGTGTGGCCACTGTGGTTGCATTTTGAATTATAAGTAGGCACAAATTCATTCTTGGAAAGCATTACATGCCAAATGGAATCTATCCCAACTACAATGTGTGTGTGTGTGGGGGGGGAGGGCGCCCCGCGGTGCGCAAACAAATAAGACTCGTCAGTGCCATTAACGACATCCCTGTGCCATCCACCTGCACAAACACAGGCTACAAGCCACACTCAGACTTCTCACCCACTGCTGCTGGCGTGAATCCCAGCCCTGTGTCCCAGCCCTGTTCGCCACTGGACACACTGCACAGGACTAACAGCATGCCCAGGCTCCTTTCCCGCTGACAGACCTCCAGTTTACTGTTGTTATCTGAGCACAGCTGAAAAGGAAACTTCTTGTAAGATTGATAATGATGAAAAGCCTAAGTTTAATTTCTAACCTACTAAATAAAACTGTTTGAGTAATTGATTAACATGTAAATCAAGGCAATCAAATTTACTTTTGGTTGTATAATCATAGAACTGATTACCTTTCAAATAAAAATCTAGAGAACTAGATTATTTCCCAGAATAAAAAGAAACGCATTGTCCTTTGCACACATGTGACCCTGCCTACATAGGTGAGTTGTCACCATTTGACGGTTTGCCATCAGGTAGCCATTATGTAACAGGACAGTCACAACTACATTCCCACTCTTTCCGTCTATGAATAATGCCCAGATAATCTAGCATGATTTAAAACAAGGGATTAATTGTCATGTGTAACTGGCTACTCTTCCAGCTGTAACAGCCAGGCATTTGCAGTAGATTGAATTTTCAAGGTAACATCAGTAATTCCGGAAGGATCTTGAGTGGAAGGCAAGAAGAAATAACATGTGAAGCAACAGAGCCACTGAGTCCCACTGTTTGAGAAGGCAGATTTCTCAATGGTGGATGTTCTGTTGGCTCATAATCCACGGTCCATCCAAAACAAAACATAGCTAGTCCCACCAGCTGGATGAATAAAATGGTATGATTACATTTTATAATGAATGTCAACTTTAATAGCACCCTGGTGGTGTAGTAGTTAGATGCCAGGCTGTGAAGGACAAGATACGCAGTTCTAAACCACACAGCAAAAGACAGTGCTCTTTCTCCCTCTCCTCCCAGAGTTACAGGCTCAGAAACTCACAAGGCAGTCCTCCCTTGCAGGGCTGCTATGACTCAACATTGACTCAGTGGCAGAGAGTTTGGGTAAGTGTTATAGAAGCTTCTTCAAACATGACTTCTCCCAAGACCAAGGTGACTAGAAGCATATGGGTTATACTCAGGACAAGATAAAATTAAGAAGGTGATTCTCCCTTTAAGTCAAGGAAGTCAGCTGGCCATAGAAGGAAGACCCTCCTTTCGTTCCTCCTCCTTCCCCTGCAGTCTAACAGGTGGGCACCACAGCATGCAGATAGCAGGACCAAAGGATGAGGAGACTCCCCCGTGGGGGACTGTAAGAAGTGACCACAAAGTATTAAAAGTGACTTTAAATCAGTTTGCCAGTCCTTGCTTCAGCAGCACAGATATTAAAATTGGAACGAGACAGAGAAGACTAGCATGGCCTCTGCTCAAGGAAGACAAGCAAATTCATGAAGCATTCCTTATTTTTTGACCCATAGCACTACAGGGGACAACACTGGAGACAAAGGGAGGGTATTGTGCTCAATCTGACCGCACCACACCAGGGCAAAATGCTAAGGGCACGCAACAGAGAGCAAGGGGAGCAAAGTAATGAAGTTCCAGGGAATGACAAAAATAGACTTTGGAGCCAGGGTGTGGCACCCCATCAGACTCAACCGGACAAAACTCCTAAAGGTCAACAAGCAGACCAGGAACTAGTTATAGGCTTTTCTTTTTTTGTTGTTGATTTTGTTGTTGTTGGGGTTTTTTGGTTTTCTTTTCTCACTTTGCTCTGTCTTATTTTTGTGTTTTGTCTCTGCTGGTCTATCTAGATAAGATAGGTGGGATAAACAATCCAGAGGAGAAAACAATAGGATCCATGGTTGGGGGGGAGGGGGGGAGGACACTAGAGGGGGGGGGAGGAAGGGGGTATTAACCAACCCAGGGACAAGGGAACAACAACAAGTGATCTAAAATTGATAGCAAGGAGGGTACAGAATACCTGGTGGGGCTTGATCAAGGGCAATGTAGCTAAGAGTAATTACTGAAACCCAAATGAAGGCCAAACATGATAGTGGGACAAGAGGAAAGTAAGAGGAAATAGAAGAAAGAACTAGGAGGCAAAAGGCATTTATTGAGGTCTAAATACAGACATGTACATATGTAAACATATTTATATATAACGAAAGGGAAATAGAGCTCTGTACATAAATTTATATGTTAAGTATCAAGGTAGCAGATGGACATTGGACCTCTACTCAAGTACTCCCTTAATGCAAGAACACTTTGCTCTACTAACCTGGCATTCTGTGATGCTCACTTTCACGATCGCTGAAGACAAAATGGATGCTAAGCAAATGTGGTGAAGAAAGTTGATGGTGCCAGCAATCAAAAGATATAGCACCTGGTATCTTAAAGGCTTGAAGATAAACAAGTGGCCATCTAGCTGAGAAGCAACAAAGTCCACATGGAAAAAGCACACCAGCCTGTGTGATCATGAGGTGTCAATGGGATCAGGTATTAGGCTTTAAAGACCCAGAACAAAAAATCCTGTCAATATGAATGAGGTGGGGTGCAGAGTGGAGACCCAATACCTATCTGTAGACTAATAGATGTCCCCTTACAGAAGGGTCACAAGGAATAGACAAGCCAGTAAGGGTGCAATATAGCACCAGCAAAACATACAACTTTCATCTAGTGTTCTTTATTGCCTCCCCCGCCCCACTATCATGACCCCAATTCTACCTTACAAATTCACCTAGACCAGAGCATGTACACTGGTACAGATAAGAACTCACAACACAGGGAATCCAGGACAGATAAACCCCTCAGGACTAATAATGACAGAAGCGATACCAGGAGGGGAAGGAGAAGGTGAGGTGGAGGGGGACAAGGGGAGAAAGGGGGAACCGATCACGATGATCTACATGTAACCCAGGGGGACAGACAATAGAAAAGTGGGTGAAGGGAGACATCAGTCAGTGTAAGACATGAAAAAATCATAATAATTTATAAATTATCAGGGTTCATGAGGGAGCAAGGGTAGGGGAGAGTGGGAGATAAAATGAGCTGACACCAAAGGCTCAAGTAGAAAGAAAATGTTTTGAAAATGATGATGACAACATACGTACAAATGTGCTTGATGCACTGGATATATGTATGGTTCGTGAAAAGAGCTGTACAAGCCCTCAAATAAAATTATTTAAAAAATGAAAAAGCAATGTGCCAGAACTGAGTCACACAAATGGATGGTGTATCCTCCAAAGCCATTATCTTGGAAATGAATACTAGTTCCAATGATGCTATAAGGGCACTCTGGATTTTTTCAGCACCTGGAATTTCCCTCATCATTTACGCAAGCACCTTTTTATCTTTCCAGCTTGGACTTCTGGATAGTCAATAGGCCTGGGTGTAGGTGCACTTTTGGGGAAAGTTTTTCTGATATCCTGCGTCTCAGTTAGGTGACTCCTCCTGAATGATCCCAGCGTCACCCCAATTTCTCCAGTGCACTTTTCAGTCGCTCTCAGCATAAACTAAAAAAACCAAGCTCACTGCCATCGAATTAATTCCAACTCATGGGAGAAAGACCAGCTTCTCCTCCCATAGAGACCTGCAGCCTGGAACACCTCCACAGGCAGCTCTCTCGGGTCTGGTCACGTCACTATGAGTATCTTGGAATGACGTGCTGATTTATCTTCTGTCTCCCCCATGAAACTGTAAACTTCACAAGGGCATGCCATGGACTGAATTTCTTCTTCTCCCCCACCGTCCTCTATTTAGCATCTAGAAAGCTATAGGCATTCTGGAAATACAGACTGAAGCAATACACCGCACTACACCTGGGCCTGGACGACTACGCTTGCTATTACAGGACTGCCAGAGAAGTGTCACACCGCTCGGTGATCCTGTATCTGCATCATGAGACTATTCCCTCTACGTATCTTGGCCTGGGGTAATGCTCGGGTTTTAGATAGATCGTTTCTACTTCATACACTCAGAGCTTATAGCTTTCTCCCTCTCACAAGCACAGTAATGTCTCACCGAGCTGGAGTATCTTCACTGTATCTCTGCAGGCCTTCAGCACCAGCTTGAAATGGCGATAAAGTGGGTAGCACAGCACCCTTCTCCCGAAGGACACCAGGATTTCATGAATGTCCGTCCAAGTCTGTGAAGGACCATTTTAGTAAGTAATCTCATGCATAAAATACATTATACAACTACATGGACACAAGGAAGTAGAAGCTATTTGGGGGTCAGCAGGCAACCAAGCAGGAGAGAATCATAAAATCCTGAAGTGGAGCCCTGGTGGCACCGTAGGTTAGATGGTGGCTACCAGCCACAGAGTCAGCAATTCAAACCCCCCAGTCTCTCCAAGAGAGAGGGGTGAGGCTATCTGGTCCCATCAAGGCTTACCACCCAGGAAACCCTAGGTAGGTTGCTAAGAGCTGGAATGGGCTCAGCAGTCAGGGTGTCTTTGTTTACAGCAGCAGATTACAATGCTCCTTAAACCCTAACATATACAGCAAAGATGTTTTTTGAAAATCTTTAAAGGATAACAAATAAGAACCTAAAGCACATGGCATTAACAAAATACAGAGTCACGTAACGAACGTTTTAAAATTATCTATGTTTTATGCTCATGCCATTTAAGAATATTCAGGACACGGAGATGAAGGATGTTGAACTTTTCAGGGACAATAGCTCACCACTTTTTCTGGCATTGTTATGGACATGAGTAATGCGTGGTATTTATTAAAAACTTGCTTTCACACATCAAGGAGAAACAGTCTTCTTTTTTAATCATCTCTCTATTGATTTCTAAACAATAACAATAAAAAGTTGGATTTTGAATAGTACCAACCTGACAACGCATTTACCATGCACTGAACCCTTGCGCACTGCCCTGGCGCTGGTCTCACGGTAGGCAGAACAGGCGCGTCGGGCAGGGTCTGCAAAGACATCACTCTTCACAGACACTGACTGCCACCTCTCTGTCCTGCACAGCGCGTGTGACTTCAAGCCACTGACCATACGTTAAGCATTAACTCCTGTGCCACCAGGGCTCTGGAGAGAGGCCATTTATAACAAAATCAGTTGAACACTCTTTTCTTGATAAGCATAAAACTAACTGGTTTATGAGAGGGATTTAAGAATTTGTGGGAAAATTCCATTACCTTTTATTCCATTTTCCCTTGAGCTTTTTGAAGCCCTCATGTGGAGAACGTGAGGAGCCCGGGGGGCAGTGGTCATGCACTGGGCTGCTCAGCACAAGGTCAGTGATTCAAAACCAGCTGCCGCTCCAAGGAGGACAATGGGGCTGTCAGCTCTCGGAAGCCCACGGGAGCAGTCCTACCCTGTCCTATCGTGTTACCATGAGTCAGAATCGACTCGATGACAGTGAGCTTGCTTTGGGTTTGTATAAAACTTGAAAATAAAAGTAAAACTTAAAGAGCAGCATAATTCTCACGTGTAGTCATCCTTAACACAATAAATATTTAGCACAAAAAGTGTTTATCTAAAAAGAATTATGAACTTTAAAAAAACCTAAATATTTACAGACTGTAACATGTGAGGCTTTGTGAATTAGGCATTGGTTGGCTGCTGGGTTTCAACTACGCACCTAACCAACTGCATGTCAGTGATTCAAACTGCAGGAAAAAGATGAGGCTTGTCTGCTCCCACAAACACTTATAGTCTTGAAAACTCATATAGGATTGCTATGGAATCAACTCAGTGGTGCAGGCTTGGTGGGGTTTTGACACATAAGCTATTGATATTAACATGGCCAGCAATTCTAACTTACCTCAAGGGCAATACATGTTTCAAAGTAAAACTATAACCTGGTGAATTTTCATGTAAGCTTTTTAAACCTGAGCAATGAAATTATCTAACTACCAACTACTTTGTTTGCAATATAAGCTATTAAAGCTATTTAAAAACGGTGTCCTATATTAGATGCTCATCACAGCCATCGGTAAGTTCCAAATGAGAGCCAGAGAACAGGCTTCTCCACCCGAGAATGCACAGGCACCACCTGGAGATCTGGCTCTGACTTGGCGGCTCTACGGTGGGAATGGCTTTCTAAACAGCTCCCAGTGAGACGGCTGGCTAGGCTGTTGGTGTACGGAGCACTTATTGAGGAGCAAGAATCTCACTGCAGAAGGAATTCTTTCAGTCACTTAACTTTTAACTATTACTTGAACAAAGTGATGTCATGGAACAACTGTGATTTTGACAACAAAATGTACAGCGTTTGAGATTAAAATCAGAAAGAAAAACTAGTTGTCATAACTGATGACAGAATTTAGTAACAACTTAAATTGATTTTTTATTTAAAAAAACAAAACTCACAGGTTGCTAGGATGCAGGTCAGGTTTGGGCGGAACTTCCAACGATGACTGACTACAATCAACCACTGACTGATTCCAGCTCACAGCAACCCTACAAGAAGGAGAACTGCTCCCTGGGGTTTGCGAGACTGTGCGTCTCTTTGGGAGCAGACAGACTCATCTTTCTGCTGCACAGAGACGACTGGCTTGGGGCCGCTAACTAGTGCCAGCAGTTGCTGACAACTGTGGTTCTCCTGACACTGGTTATCAGCCCGCCGTTTAACCCCCTTTGCCACTAGAGCTCCAAAGAAGGTAATAGGAGAGAGCTTCTAAAAGTTGGTTAAAGAATTCTATTATCTTTCTATTCCATTTCCCACAAATGTTTTGAAGCCTCCTTTTATTTGTGAAATGTTTAACTTAGCCCTCCATAGTAAGTAGTGGCAAGTAATGTTATCACATTAAGTGTGATTCCCATCTTGGAGCTCTGCACACAAACACACTACCAAAATCCATCCTCCACTCATCTCCCAACTGCGTGGTCCTCCCCAGCTTCCAACACATTAAGCCTGGCTTCACCAGCATGCTAAGATTAGAGTAAGAGTAACTAATGAAATGAGAATTCTAGTATTACAAAACCTCTCCTTTTAGAAAATCATGGGATTTCTTGAACTACCCAAAAGGGACTAACAAGGACACTAGAATAACTTAAGGAGCAAATAAAATCTAAACAACTGCAAATGAAAATCATACCTCGAACCAGCACAGTGTAGAACTCAGCTTTCTGATGTTCCACGCAGACTCAACCTGGGTTTGTGTTGGAAAGAGCACAGTCGTGTTAGAAGTGGCACTACTGAAAGAGAACATAAATACACCCCGTCAGAGAGTATCTGCGTAGCCCTGACACATGCAGAAACTAAGAAGTACTCAAGACTGTGCACAAACAAACACTTTGCTGCTGCTGAGGTGCCCTGGTGGCAGAGTGGGTTTAGCGCTGGGCTGCTAACCACCCCGAAAGCACCAGCCACTCCTCCGGAGAAAGGCGAGGCTGTTTATTTCCACAAAGAGCTACCGTCTCGGAAACCCACGGGGGCCGTTCTGCCCTGTCCTACAGGGTTGCTGTGAGTCAGACTACACTTAATGGAAGGGAGTTCCTGGTACAGAGGCTATCAGAGGCAAGTTTCTGTCAAAGCTCCTTGGAATTTTAGCAAATGAAGTTTTTTGAGTGACAAGAGCACCAGGACAAAAAAGCAAATAATTAGAAGCTTTGACACTTTCAAATCTGAGTGACAATTGCTCAATTTCTGTCCTTCTTAGAAAAGTTACTGGTCTCCCAGTCTCAAGCAAAACAATCTACCCGGAGAATCAAAGCAGACAGTTATTCTGTCTGCTTCCGCCCTGTCCTCCCTCTCTCTGCTCGGGCCTGGCTGCCGAGACCATGGCCATCCCTGAGGAAAGGCAGAGGGACCAGACCCCATCCTGGAGCACCACACCTTGAGAGAAGCACACTTGCATGGAGCAGCAAACTAACAGAGAGAACGGGGCTGGGACCAAGCCGAGCTATGTTGACCCTTCCCCAGAGGAATGTAATACAGAGGACAGCACTGAGGAGTGGCAGGTCTGTCAAGACCACAAGTGAGCAAACTAAGAGGGAAAGAGAGAGAGAGTGGACCTCATCATGGCCCACCAAGCCTCAGGCGATGACATCCCTGCTCAGAGCAGCCAACGCACAGAGAACACCATAGGGCCGGCCCCACCAGGAGACACTATGCTTCCTCACTGACCCAGAGCCCTGCCGGACACAGCACTGGAGACACTGTGTGGAAAGTGTGCCTGGTCTGCCCCGGGCACAGCGGGGTGAAGCTCGAAGGGAGTGCAACAGGGCAGCAAGGGGAGCAAAGTAACCAAGTCCCCAAGGAACCCTGAAAATAGACTTCTGACTCGGGGGACAGGACTTGGTTCCTCATCAGACCCAACTGGAAAGCACTCATAAAGGTCAGCAGACAAACCTGAAAATATCAGGATTTTTTTTTTTTCTTTCGCCCTATGTCTATCTATATAAGATAGGCAGGACAAACAATCCCAAGAAGAAAACAGTGAAACCAGCAGTGCTGGGGCACCTGGGAGAGGACTGAAGCAGGAAACCAACAAACTCAGGGATGAGGAAGCAACACGCAATCTAAATGATGGCGTGGAGGCCTGGTGGGGTTTGACCAAGGGCAATGTACCTACGAGGAATTACTGAGGGCTGGTGGAGGGGAAGCATGATAGCAGGACAGGAGGAATGTGAAAGGAAATCAAGCAAAGAAGGAGGAAGCAAAAGCTATTTATGGAGGTACAGCTATAGGTATGTATATATGTAAAGATATTAATTTATAAAGAAAGGGATAGAGGTAATGTACATATATTTATATGCTAACGTATTAAGATAGCAGACAGACTTCAGGCCTCTACTCAAAGCAGCCCTAAACACAAGAACACTGTCCTCTAATAACCCTGCACTCTTTGATACCATCTCGACACGATCACTGAAGACAAAATGAGTATATAAGCAAATGTGGTGAAGAAAGTGGATGATGCCCGGCAATCAAAAGATATAGCATCTGAGGTCTTAAAAGTTTGAAGTTAAACAAGCTGCCATCTAGCAGGGAAGCAAATAAGCTCACATGGAAGAAGCACACCAGCCTGTGTGATCATGAGGTGTCGACCAGATCAGGTATTGTTATCAAAAGATCCAAAAGAAACAATTATATTGATGTGAATGAGGGGGGTTTGCAGTGGAGACCCAAAGCCCATCTGTAGACAATTAAACGTCCCCCACAGAAGGGTTACAAGGAGGAGACGATTCAACCAGGGTGCAGTGTAGCACTGATGAGACATGCATCATTCCTCTGGTTCCTGAATGCTTCCTCCCTGCCCAACCCCCTACCATGACCCAGTTCTGCCTTACAAATCCGGCTAGGCCAGAGTACACACATTGGTACAGGTAAGAGCCGTGGACACCGGGGATGCAGGACAGATGAAGCCCCCAGGAACAGTAGTGGGAGTAGCGATATCATGAGGGTAGGGGGATGCTGAGGGCAGGAGTTTGAGAAAAGGAGAACCCACCACAGGGTTGAATACATAGCCCACTCCCAGGAGACGAATAAAAGAAATGTGGGTGAAGGGACACAATGACGAGTGTTAAACATGAAATAATATACAATTGATCAAGAATTCACATGGGTGGGAGAGGAAAAAAAGCTGGTGCCAGGGGCTCAAGTTGAAAGAAAATATTTTGGAAGTGTTGATGGCAGCATATGTGCAAGTGTGCTTGATACAACCAAATGATGGATTGTTATGGGATTTGTAGGAGCCCCCCAATAAGATGATTAATAAAATAAAAATTTTCTTTTAAAGAATCAAAGTGAATGTCAAAATGCTATCTGCGGCACTTAACAGTTGCATTTGGTCTTTCAGAAAAGGCATGTAAGAATAAGTAAATGTATGGATATTGAGCACACAACTCTGAGTCAAATGGCAAATTCTATCAAGTATAACTAAACACTCACAATCGTTGTTTTTGTTTTTCTAAGCAAAAACATAAGCACTTTATTTCTGAAAACATGTTCTTTCTAGTGGTGGTATCCTCAAAAGATGAAAGGAGAGGAGAGGTGCATTTTGGGCCATAAGATGCCCTGACTACACTGAGCCGCTCATTCAGCTCATTGGGAAGACAAATGCAACCTCTCAAGAGCCAGAGTGCCCTTAGAAACTCTCAGAATCACGGCAACAACGGATGTGGCTCATATAAAATTCTCATTCCAATACTATGCTAGGGTTATGATGCTGGATGAGGAAAGCAGTCAATAATATAGATATGGCCTGATCCGATGTGAGCATACACATGCATAGATGTACATATGCACATTAACACAGGACTGAGAAGAGAGGCACCACCTTTGAACTATTTGTCTACTTTTTTTGAAATGAATTAATTAATGAGTCCGTGAGCATGGACAATTATAAACACGTGAGGATGTACAGAAACTGGAAAGACCACTCATCCTGTATCTGGATCAGTGATGTAGCTGAGAAACAAATGCAGCTCTTGTTTACAAAATCAGGTGTGGTTTTAGAAGTGATACGGCAAAATCTATGTTATTTTAAAAGGTCATTTTCAAAATTGGTAATTTATAGATCTTGTTGCCACGGAGACCACTGGCTCACGGGCATCCTATAGGACAAAGCAGACCTGGCCCCATGGGGTTGCCAAGGCTGTGCATCTTTACAGAAGTAGACAGACACATCTTTGGCTCACAGAACAAGTGGTGAATTCAAACTGCTGCCCTTTCAGTTAGCAGTTGTGCACTTAACCACGGTGCCCCCAGGGATCCTCAAAGGGAGATGAGAGCCCGAGATATCCTGACTCTCTACTCTCACCTTTCATCCTTAAACTTCCTCATCTGGTGGAAATGAATGCCGACAAAGAACAGAAAGAGACCACACATATGCCGTGCTTTCATGCTTCTACCTGCCACCAACACACACTTGCCCCAAGGCCTGCAGCGTTCTTTAAATAACTAATCACAGCAGGTTTTGCTCCCAAGCAGACAGCAGACACCATCACAATACAGACGTGGTGCCATAACGGGCACATGTGCACTTACATTCTTTTCTCCCTCCGTGACGCGCATTTCATAGCAATAGGCCAGAAGAATGTCAGTCAAGCTGTAGTACACTTGCCGGCGGGCACTCTGATCCAGCAGGTAGAATTTATTGATAAATTTCCGTAGTTGATATTTCTCATCTTCAGAAAAGAACACTGGAAGAAAATGCTTTTAAACATTAGATATTTCATTCAGCTTTGTAAAATCCCAGCGTGCAAAGTTTGTCCAAAATACAACATGGATAAATTTTTCTATTTAACTCCAGATATGAAGCAACTTTTTAAGTAGACCCACAGCGAGGGTGGGGTCTGACCCTCGTCGACTACATAAAGAGCAGATTTCTAAACAGCTTTCCCTTACTTCCCAGACTTCTCTCTTTTCATTCTTGCTAGTGTTCTGTGTTTAAGGCATCTAAATGCAAGTTATTAATATTATAATTTAGATAATTAATATATCTTGGGGAAAAATAACCATAGTTAAGTAAACAACTCTGAACACATTCACAGACAGAAGAATAGTCCTATATATTGATCAATATTAAGGATAATCTTTATTTTTCAATGTTCTGTATACATAGATGCAAATTTGCACATAAGTGCGACCACATCGCACACATTAGACGAGTGGGGACAGGGTGCCTCGTTTCAACACAGCCTGCCTGTCCTGTCTTCCTTTGCTTGGATCCTCTCCCCACTGTCATCTTCATCAACAGCCTCCCCCAAGTTAAAACCTTCCTATCCATGTGGAGCCTTCAAAAAGCTCAAGGAAAATGCAATTAGAAGATAATGGAACATTTCCATACACGTTTTGAAGCCCCTTCATATGTACCTGCCACATTTCTATAATCCAATACAGACATACACATGTAAATATGAGGGAGTGTCTACCTTTTCCCTCATAAGAATTAGGTTACTTTTCTGCATCTAGCCTACCTCACTCACGCTCACAAATCCCGCCAGGTCAGTTAGTAATTAGGTGAGTTTTTCTAAGTTCCACAGTGCACCTTGCTGCGTCCAACCACTCCTCCCACTGACAGGCACTCACTTGGCTCACAATGTCCTGCCACTGCTACTCATGCTGCAGTAAATGTCCTGGCTTAGATCCTTGGACACCAGAGGCTTGACTGTCATCAAACAGATTCCTAAGAGCGATTCATTGAGACAAAAAGTACATTTTGCCTCATTTAAAGGCAACGATGATTCTCACTTCTAACCAAACCCAGTGCTATCAAGTCGACTCACACTCGCAGAGAACCAACCCTGCAGCGTCCTTTCTAACAATCATGAATAAAATCCAAAGCCCAACCCATGACATACACCTTTTTTCTCTCACACACACGCCCTACCCTATCCTCCCAATGCACGTCATATTTTCTTCCAATAACTTCCAGTGTGGTGGAAGTAACCTGACGGTGGCCTCCAGGTTGCCCGGATTCGAAGACGGTCTCACAGGAGCTATGTCATTGTGTGGCGGTTGGGCCTGGGACTTGTTCCTGATAAAAGATGGCAAAGGTGATGGGCACGGCACTCCCATAATTGTGCTACTTTGTTCACTGACTGCAACCAGAGATTTGCCTGCCGGCTTTGAATAAATCAGCTGCCCTGTTGTGAGAGGCCGGTGGCAGGGAACTGGGGAGGGCTAAGATCTGAGAGCAGGCCCAGCTGATAGCAAGCAGCAAGAACGCATAGGTTTTCCTTAGTTCTCCAGTCACAAGGAGCAGAATTCTGCCAGAACTCATGTGAGCTTGCACAGCACCTGAGTGCCCCAGAAAGCAATACAGTTGCCAATACCTAGACTGCAGCTAGGCCTGGGCTTCCCATTCACAAAAACAGTTGCCACATAAAAGTATACTGTGTTGAGGTGCTAAATTTGTGAGCATTTGTTCTGCAGCCGATAATAGAAACTGTACAGTGACTTATCATTGTAACTTCAATTAGTATTTCTCCAGCATCTAGGCTTTGAACAATATTGCATATGCTTGTTGGCAATCAAAATTTGATTTCCTGTGACTAACGCATTTCAATCTCTTTTATCCATTCTTTCCATTTGTGAGAGCATTTGTATATGATAGATCTGAACCCAATTCATCTCTCCACATATACCATTTTGATTTCATGGAATATTTCTTCATTGAAGTATTTACTTTTCATGGAACTGAGTATTATTTTTTCTGTTTTCTTTTTCTCTCTCCATGCTTAAATTCAATGACTATATATATGTATACACACACACACAAACACATCCCCCACTCCCGAAAAAAGACCAAAGTAGGTGTCAGAAGAGAATCTGAAACTTGCTCTTGAATGTAGAGTAGGTAAAGCAAACAAAAGAAATGAAGTTAAAAAATTGAACATAAAATGCTGAAGGGCAGCTTAAAATGACAAAGCATCATAATGAAATGTGAAGACACACAGTTAGAAAACCAAAAGGGGCTAAGATCTCAACATCTCAAGCTGAAAGAACTGAAGGAAAAAAAGTAAGCTTCAAGTTGCATTATGGAAGGATTCTAAGAGCAAAATATTAAATCATGCAGGAAGCATCAAAGATAGAATAAGGAGGATTAGTCAACACACAACCGCTTCAAGAGGTAGAGTACAATCAAGAATCAATGACAGAAGAATTCTGTTAAGGAGTCTTCTACTGAGAGAAGAAGTGTAAGCTGCATTAAAGGCATTCATTCGCCAAAACAAGGCTCCAGGAATTGTCAGAATACCAAATGAAATGTTTCAACAAACTGATGCAGCCCTAAAAGCACTCACTAACCTATGCCAAGAAATTTGGAGGACAACTACCTGGCCATCCTACAGAAAGAGATCCAGTTTATGCCTATTCCACAGGAAGGGACCCCAACAGAATGTGGAAGTTTTCATACAATATCACTAATATCACAAGCAAGTAAAATGTTGCCGAAGATAATTTTGAAACATCTGTTAGTGCATATCGACGGGGAGCTTGTGGCTGATGTCAGGTGGCTCTTGACTGAAAGCAGAACACGAGAAAGATGTTTCCTAGAGTTTCATTGCCAGTGCATGTTAAAGATCACAACACACTAGGGATCCCTTTGAGAAGAACGGGAATTCGAGAACACTGCATTGTGCTCATGAAGAACCTGGACATGGGCAAAGAAGCGGCCATTCAAGACAAGAGGACAAGAGAATCGTGCGTGGTTTAAAATTAGACCAGAAGAGTGTGTTACAGTTGTATCCTTTCACCATAGATGCGCTATCTGTGCACCCAGCAAATAATCTGAGAAGCTGAACTACACAAACAAGAACGCAGCAGCTGAGGGAGTAAAGGAAGTCTCGTTAAGTCTGTGAAATGCAGACGACACAACTTTGACGGCTGAAATGAAAAGATGAGGATCAGCATGGACTACAACTCAATATAAAGAAAACCAAAATCCTCATGATAAATGGAGAGAAGCCTGACGCTGCCAAGGATTCCACTTTACTGGATCCCCAACCAATGCTCACAGAAAGGGCCGGAGCAAACCTGCGGCACAGACCTCTTTACCGTGTTAACGAGCAGAGCTGTCCCGGGGAGGACTAAGGCACACCACACCCAAGCCGGGGTATCTTCAGCCGCCTCTGATGCCCAGGAAAGCTGCACAGCGAATAAGATGCCCGAGAACTGATGTCTCTGCATACTGAAAGTACTCCAACTGCCCGAAGAACAAATCTCTCTTGTGGGGGTGGCGAGACTTTGTTTTTTATATGTTGGACTTGTTATCAGAAGAGACTACTCCCCGGAAAAGTTTGGTAAAGTGGAGGGTCAGCAAAAAAGAGGAAGACCCTCAATGAGAGGGCTTGACACAGTGGCTGCAACGATGGGCTCTAACAGAACAACGGTGAGGCTAGCACAACACCAGCAGTGTTTTGTTTTATTTTGTTCTGCTGTGCAGGAGGCCACTATGAGTCAAAGCCACCTGGACAGCCCCTAATAACGACAGCATCCATTCTAAGAGTCTAGATGTATAGCCCGTCCTTGGACTGCACATGAAGTCTCTTAGATTGTCTTAAGCTTTTTGGTTTCACTTCTTACATTTATTATGTTTTTAATACATCTGGAAGTTATTTTGTCATGTTTTAAGATTCCCACTTATTCCAAATGAACAGTTAATTGTGCCAGCAAAGTTTAAATCACAGAAGAGCAAACTTATTTGTCCTACTGCCCCTTTTCAGAAAAAATTACTTGGTGACCCCTAGCATTTAAAAACTTTTGTACTATAGTATATAACCCAAGATAAAGTATAGGTGTCTACTTTTACAGCCCCCCTGGATTGTTCCAAGACCCGCCTCGCCGAGTGGGCAGTATCACATGCTTTGGGAAACACTGGTTTAAATAATCCATTTCCCCCCACTATACAACAGGAGTCCTGGTGGCATAATGGGTTACCCCTTGGGCTAGTAACCACAAGGTTAGCAGTTCAAAACCACCAGCTACTCCTCAGGAGAAAGATGTGGCTTTCTACTCCAGTAGCGTGAGTCCCGGAAACCCACAAGGGCAGTTCTCCCCTGCCCGATGGCTGAATTAAACGTTAGAATTGACTTGATGGCATTTAAGAGTGCAATTTCAACATAGTACCTGTCTAATTATTTTCCTTCCATGCCTTATGAGATAACTACTTTCAAAAGACAACTTTTGTTAGTCTAGATGGACAAAAGAAACAAATTCAGTGGTCTGTGGCAGTTACATAATCTGTTGTCAATTTGAGACTTACGAGTGAAGGGTGGAGTTTAGCCTGTCAATCTGGTCTCAGCTTGATGACCTCATTTGAAGGCACAAAGGAGATGAATATCATGCTGGAGAAGGGACATACGCTTACTCCCTGGGAGACAATGGTGCTGACAAGGCACACAGAGCTACACTAGTGCCCTGAGCTGGAGGAGCCAGGTAGAGACCCCTGCCAGTGCTGAGATGCTTACAACACCACTGGATCCACAATATCTCCCACCCAATGGACTGTGATCTTCCTTCATTTGGCATCGTTACATGTGTCTCTTGAGTCTGAAGAGGACTTTATAGATTGGGATCACACATATGGGTTATATCGGCCTTATGGACTTGATCTGGACTGGGCTAGGATCTTTTCTTAATGTACAATTACTCTTTATATAAAACGCTTTCTTATACACATGAGTGTCTATGAATCTGT